ACTTATAAATAATATAAAAAAATAAAAACTCCAAAAAATTCCATCACTCCATATTTGATGTGTTTTGTCGGAATATCTTTTTGATAGTGTGTAGCAAGATGAACCTGGGCTTCTAGGTCGTTTCCTGATGGTTTTAAAATTAGGGAAACTTCAATCAGTCCAGCATTCTTGCTCTTGTCTTATTTCATTTTATAAACATTATGTTATCATTACCTATCAAGTCGATGATTATTTTACAATAGTTATTTTTCTCAACTCCTTGTTTCCCTCCCGCTCTCTCTCTTGTTTTTTGCTTTTTGTTAGAACACTGATTTTTTTATTAAAAAAATTATATAATTTGAATTATATTTAATTACATAATATAAACTATTAAATAAAATTAAACCTTCTAATATTAAAAATTAACCTTGTCATCAAATAATTTATACCATTTCTATCTAATAATTCATATCTTATTGTTCGGAACCATAAAACACGAAACACACTATTTTGATATACCTAAACTCATCTCTTGTGAACAAATACAGATGAAAGGGCACCTGTAGGCTTTGGATACTAGTGCAATATTTATCAGGCCACAAAGGGAACAAAGCTTTTGTATTTTCAAAAGTTTCGGAGGTCCAGAAGGCCACATACAAAGCAACCAACCTTTCCCAATCACTCCCTGATGAATGAACTGGTAAAATCAACCCAACCCAAAAGGGCCTTTGTATTGTGTAGAAGTGCAGTGTAGACTTGAACTAGGTCTGGTGGGACTGGGAGCTGTGACAAATCAACATGGATGTATGATAATACATTAATACGAGATAACGAGTTTCCAAGATTGAGGAGCATGAAATGATCATCGAATTTAACATTGAAACCCTTACAAACTCATAATTTCAAAGCCAAGATAATGCATTTGTATATTCAGAACTTGCTTAAATCCATTGAAAGCCAAGATGTCCTGTCGGATTAATTTGCAGGAGATTCATGATGCTGGGAAGTCAACCCTGAAACAAGAAGGTAAAAAGAAATCAGCAAGGATACATGAATCTAGCAAGAAGAGATCTAGCTAGTCATACTCATGCAAGGCAAAATTTCAAAGTTCTTATATGAACTGATAATGTTCTACTTGCATTCTCAAAGTTCTGGATGTAAATATATTGGGAATTGAGAGCACTGAGCCCCTTCTTGACCCACTAAGTAAGAATGATAGCTATAGGAGGATTAACAATAACAATTTCCTTTCAGATTTTGATTGAATGGATAAATCTGCTTTCCATATTGTTGAAAACATCAAATTGTGCAGAGAGAAAATTAATATTCTGGAGCAGCAAACTTACCTGTCTCCTCCTTCGACTTTGCAAGTACCATGTGCGAGCCATCACATAGCATGGAAGAAGAAAGCCAGCAAATTGAAGAAATGAAACCTGGAACTGATTACCCAATATTCGTATTCAGTCTTTACCCTAGGTACCAATCATTGTATAGCATTCATTAACTTGAAAATCATTAGGAAAGAAGGGAAGTTCTGAATATACAAATGCATTCATGCCTGTGTCACAAAAATATTAACAGGCTCTTCTGTATCATTAATATTCACCATCCAATAGCATTAGCATCTTTACAAGAAGAATAGATCAAGATCTAATAGGATATCATATGGTATAACAAGCATGTTTATGTCATTATTTTGAACTCACATTATAGAATGCTGAAGACTCCTGGACCATGCTAGAATCTCTAGTCACCAAAAGGAATTGGTGTACAAGCAAAATTATCAGCAACTGCACATATCACAAATTAACATGAATTTATATTAGTTATATTAGTTGTGCATATGAGGATTGTCAAAAACACAAGAAAACCAGAGAAGAATATATATATATTTTTGCTTACAATGAGAGCAACAGCACGGAGGCAGGCAAGGCTACCAGAATTTACAGCAACATAATCCTCATATTCCGATTGTAGTAGCTGGCTCTCAGATGCAGTTAGCACTAGAAGACGTGAATCACGGAGATCCACATGAGAGCCCCATGCTTGCCTAATGAGAAATAGTAGGACATGAAACTTAAAGAGTTTTATTACACAAACAACTCACTAAAGTAACATAGACAAAATTGGTACCTAAGCCATAAACAAGACTTTATGCTGACTAAGAAGGATATGACATATTTCCATCCCTGATGTCAATGAAATGAAATGGCAACGGTGACTAGTTCCACCTTTTTGGTAGACAAAGCATGCAACTATCGAAAGAACATACCTATTGGTAGGAGATACAAACGCGTTTTCCAAAGATATTTCAGATTATGAAACAAATGGAATTCCATTTCGACCAAACCATTTTCATTTCTTTCCTTTCTTTAATATTACAGTTCATATGCTACTTTAACCTCGACCAAGAAATTTCTATGTTTTACTTCATTTTCATAAATTAATCACACATCAAGTGATGTTGACCCAAAAATGGGTTAGATTATAGATTAGTCCAGATACAAGCAAGAATCTCCTGGTTCAACTAAAAACCAATAACCTACAATACAACAATGGTATACTTTTTTTTTCTTTTGTCAAGGATTTCCTCTTCCAATAATTATGTGACCATAATGTCTAGATAATTCTCTGATTTAGGAACATTTACGGTGATAGAATGTTAGATCATTCTGCACTTTCATGCCTAACCACCACTCAACAACACATACAAACTGAGCAGTGTGCCAATCTCTAGCAGCAGAAGGGAAAACTTAAAGAAAGAAGCCTCAAATATAGGTTAAAAAGCCCCCAAAATGTTACCTTATATCAATTGCCATCACATCGGGATTGCTTCTAGCTGGAGGAAGAGAATAATTTGGAGAAAAAACCTGTTGAACACAATAAAATTGAACAAACAACTGAATCACATGATTTTCAATTTCTGCTATGCAAAGACCTAATGTATATAGAAATAAATCTTCCAAAACGTCCAACCTGTTTGCAGATTTCACAAGTTATGTCACCTTTCTTATTGCACCACCTCTGAATGCATTTCCTATGAGCAAACTAGAGCAAGATAGGAAAGTGTTAGACAATTGAAGAAAAAAAAAAAAAAAAAACCTTTTGTGAAGTTAGATAACTTAATTTTGGACACTTTCCTTTTGTCTCCCACAAAATTCTTTAAAAAGAAGAGAGCATAAGCATCTCAAATTTTATATATGAGGCCTAAAAAATCACAACTTAGGAGTGGCATTGGGTCAAAGTTCAAGTAAAGAATGAGACACCCTAAAAGACTAAAGAAAAGCACGCATCCAGAAATGCTCACATTTCAAAACAAGCAAAATGATGCCTTTCTTAAACATGAAAAAATATAAAATATAAAACGAAAGCCTTCCTAAACACAGAACAATACCGAATTTCCCCCAAAAACCAGATCAACATGTAGATAGAATAAATTGAAGCCTACTTAAATGCCCAGATAATCAAAAGCTTCTAATTTTATGCCAAAAAACACAGACAGAGAGTAAATAAACACAAAACACACCAAAAAGAATGAAACTTTACAGAAAACCTATAAAAAAAACAGACCTTGAGAGTGCCATTACAGGCGCAGGGAGCCTCCATTTCACGGGTATCAGCTTCCTCCTGGCATATCCTGCACTCGTTCATCTCTGTCATCACCTTGTTCGAAGAACACCCTTCTTCCCCCTCACTGTTCTTCTTCACGGAAACAACACTGTCAGCTGTTTTGGCCTCAACATTTCTTCCAGACTGTCTCTCACAGTCTCCCTCTGTTCCTCTTCCCCCATTATTGACTGACTCAAAGCAAGCCGTTGCTATGATCCTGTCAATACAAACCATAAAATCATCCACCATCTTCTCTCTCCCTGTTTTCAGGGTCTCCGTATGTCTGTAGAGATGGTATATATAGTGTAGAGATAACTATCTATTTGTAGGTATATTGCTTCTCTGTCTACAAGTTGTGAGGAGAACAGAAAAGCAGAGGAAGTGGGATTTAAAAAGTAGGGGCATGGTAGTGGTGGCGGAATTTACGAGTGGGACCTCTTTTGGCTAATTAACATTATTGTCCTGGAGTTGTAATTTATTTACTACTTCATCCGATAAAAAGTATCTTCGACAACTGGATTGCCCAA